GGTGGGATGGGGCTGGGGCAATAACATTCCTGGGAGATGGCAGCTGGTGAGCCAGTCAGAGCTCAAAAAAAAGGAGCTGGCCTCACTGTCCGGGAGGCAGACGATGCTGAGAGGCAGCGTGTGGGGAGTCCGCGAGAGTTGCCATTTGCCTTTGTTTGGAACACTTTAGAGCAACTTGAGCAGATGGCGCAGAAGAGGAAAGAAAAGAAAAAACATTGGCCGAGCAGAAGGAGAAGACGAAGAGGATCCGAGACGAAGCCTGAGTGGAAAAACAAGAACGTCACATGCCAGCGGACATGTCAGCTTCGTTTCGTCGTTGTGCTTGGTTTCCGAACATTCTTTTTGGTTTCCGAATAATCGTTGGTTTCCGAATAACGTTTTTTTTGGTTTCCGAATCATGCTTGGTGTTTTGGTTTCCGAATCATCGTTTTGGTTTCGGAATAAAGCCGCAACCCGATGGCTTCGGTGACCTAGGCCCTAGGCAGAATGTGCAGGTACAGTTAGGCGCAGTATATGTGTACCGCTTCATTGATCATGGAAGACTTCTTTCTTGTTCTGCACACCCTTTGCGCTGCCCCAACTTGCTCCCATACATCGAGCATATCGCTGTACTGCGGCTTTTGCAAAGCCCAGCCTTCTAGGCTCAGCTGAGATGTTTTGCGAGCGAAGTGAGACGAGTGGGTCTGGGGAAGGGAGGGAAAGGAGAGGAGGGCCACCAATCTGGGAGAGGGGTGGGGAGATGATGGCACTGTTAGCTTGTTTTGGTTTTCTGGTTAAGCCACACAGTTTGCTTGCTGGCAGGGTGCAGTTGGGCCACATGGTTGCTTAATGACGAAAGCCAGCCTTCGTAGAAGGCGCCAGCTGAGTTGTGTTTGGAGAACGAAGTGGGTAAGTAGGGGGTGTCGGGGGGGTTGGCCCGAGAAAGGGCGACTTAAACTCCAAATTAGGTGGTGTTTAGGGGTCCACCGAAGTAAGGTTTTTGAGGTTGTTTTGGAGGTGATTCTTTGTGATTTTTGACGGGGGTGGTGACGCAGGAAGTGCGATGTGCATCATTTGCATCATCCGAATGGTAAGGTGTAGTTTCACAGAGGCCGATGTGTTGTGGCTTCGTGCAGCTGTGCATGAACAACAACTTTCAGAAGGAGAGAAAATATAATTGCTATATTTGAAACCAACAAGTTAGCCACAGTCTATAGGCCTCTACATGAATTAAAAATATGATAAAAATATGATAAAAATGCGACCCTGAAATGCGATTTTTATAACAGGCACCTGGAAAAATGTGACTTGCTTAATTCACATTTTGTTTTTATGAAAGTGTATGTTGAAAAATGTAAAGGGTGCATTCAAAGGAAAGTGTTACATTTTGGTGAGCTCTCTTATGGGGATTCTAGGTGTTGTCACCAAACCAACAAACAAACCCGCAAAAATTGCAACAGAAAGGGGAACTTGTATTTGTTGTGATCATCCTTTTAACCTAGGACCTAGGGCTAGGGATATGGCGCTTAGGTTTGCTCCTTCAAACTTAAAACGAGACAAGTCTTAACTCGCCCCACCCCCCAAGAACCCTCGCCCACACCAACTTTGAATTGCATTCCTCCTTCTTCTGGTTAAGCCGGTTAAGCGTTTAATTAGCCGCTAGCCTTGTCAAGTTAGAGGTTTGAGTGTTCATGGGGAGCTTGCCATAACCATTGTGCAAGTTCAAACCCTAAACCCTAAACGTTGAGACCTTTATGGCAAAAAATGGGCAGCATTTTGTTTATTTTGTATTTTTTTAAACAAGAGCGCTGGAAACCGCCCAAAGTTTACATTTTCAAAAAATGCGAAAAAATACGATTTGACATTTACATTTTTTTTGTAAATTAAAAAAATGCGAAAAAAAGCGAAAAAATACGAAAAAACCAAAAAAAATGTGAAAAACATGCGAAATAAAAAGCGAAAAAAATACGAAATGCCCAAAAAATACGAAAAAAATACGAAAAAAAGCGAAAAAACAGCGAAAAAAACACGAAAAAAATGCAAACACACAAAACAAACAAAAAAAAGTACGACCTTAATTTGTACAATTTTTTCATATATTTCAAAATTACGAAAAAATGCGAAATCAATATTACATTTTTTCATATTTCTAAAAAATGCACAGCAAATTTGATTCAAATTTCATGTTTTTTCATATGTTTGTCGCGGTCTCTGTCGACCTAAGCGCTCAATACTCATTGTAGGCTCTTAATTTATGTTGAATTTTCTATTATTTTATTCACGTCGCTTCGCGACGGTAACCGCCCGCACCGCATGGGAGGGCTCAAAGACTGCAGTCATGCTCCAGGAACGGGTCAAGGTAGGTACTTCCATTGAACATAGCCCCAGAAGTCACCCCCCCCCAACGTGGCCGAACATATAGCTTCCATATTGCCTAACATAGCGCTAGAATGTGGGAACGTCGCAA